AGACCATAACAAACTCACCTTCTAATTGAAAGAACCTTTTGAAGTACAGAAAGTACTCAACAGAATGGACTACAAGGTGAAAGAGAATGGGAAGACTAAGATCTACCACGCCAATCTGTTGAAGAAGTATTTTGGGAGAGAAGATGTAACAAGTACAGCTATTGAAACAAAGATGGTGTGGCCATCATAAATGTAAAACCAGAAGATAGTGACTTTGTGTTAGAAGATAGGATCTACTAGACCCAAGACCATGGTGGTGATGAGACATACAAAGATATTAACATCAGCAAAGATCTGACTGGCAAGCATAAAAAAAAACACCCACAACATGATACACAAGGAGATTTATTTGCTGCATATGGGCCTAATAAAGGAGGCCCAATGTTCGACAATAAGGGAAACAGTAACAGGTGCCCCATAGTGATTGAAATAGTCCACAATGGTGGAAATGTTGGAATGGAGCACGACCTATTGGTACTGTAACAGTGGAAGAAAATTTATCAAAGCACATTGTACTGTCATATGCTCCAAGATGTTGAAATGGTAAGACATTACGATGTGAGTCCATTTCCCAGAAACCACTTGCTGATGGACCAACACTTCCAAACCTTGGAGAGAAGCATCTGTGATTCAATGCAAATCCGGATGAAGTGGAGGAAGCAGTACTCCCATCATCGTGCTATCCCCCGTTCAACCACCAATGTAGATAGTCAGTAATGGAAGGAGGAAGGGTAACTGGGGAGTCCAAGGGACCCCAAGCAAGATTCCACCCAACCCAAAGAAATAAGGGCTTCCATAGAAGTCCAAGTCCTCATAAGTAACAGAACTTTTCGAGCAGAAATCGAGGAAACAGTAACTGCATGGAGAACTGATGGAGAAGGATGGGCTTAAATGAAGGGGGTGTTGAAAAATACACCCAAGTGGATAAGAATGTGGGTAGGCAAAAGGAAATTTCACTAAGTGTAAAATCCAACCAACACAAGCTACTACTGTCAGCAACAGTTGTGTGTGTGTGGTGAGAAGACTTCAGTTTGGAATGAGTTAACAGGAACCAGTCATCCATGTAGTGATGTAAACACAACCCTAAAGCATGCAGAAGTTGGGCAAACCCATGACCAAATAAAATTATACGATGGTGAAACAAGCCTGACTAGGCACAAAATTGATACACAATCCCATAATAAAAACAAAGATAGCATCTGGACTAATGAGAAATATGAATATGGAGATAGGCATTCCAGAAATCTACCTTGGTCATACATAGTCCTGGAGAAAAAAAACCTTGAGTGTGATAAAGGACTATGGGAAATTGGTGAAGAACCAGAAATTGTTTGAGGCAGGTCAGATGGATCACAGGACAAAAACATGGAGTAAAATCCTGGAGACGGTTGGCAGACAGGTTTGATAGCTCTCTGTGATAGAAGGGTCAGCACAACCTTGGATAGATTCAGACAGGTAGCTGGATCCAGAGTTAATGGGAAGGAAATTGGTACAGGAGACAAAGGTGGAGGGGAACAGAACAGATGAAAAGTCCTTCTGACAAAACTTGGATCACTGAAGAATCGGTAATGAATAACCACCACAAGGGACAAAATCGGCCAAACATGCTCCCACTGGACTTGAAACCACCTGAAAGTCACTGAAACGGCTAGTGACATGAACCCAACTTTGAGACACCTAGTGGTAGGAACAGGTAAAGGCAGAAGGTTGCCAAATGAGAAATAGTTAAGGGAGAGGTCATGGTATCAGTATGAAAGAAATGACTAAAGGGGCAAATATAGACTCTCAGAGTCCACACATGATTCCAAAGACTCTGGAAAATCTCTAGAAACAAACCAATGGAGAAAGGGGGCCATTCAGAAGTCACAAAGATAAGGGGAAGATAGAAGAACCTGTGAAATCACAGCATCCTTTCCAATATGATCCCAACAGCAACAAAACCATGTGTGAAGAGATAGGGCCAAAGAGGACAATAGTGCCAAGGAGGAGGAAGGATGTAAAATGTATCCCTCCAAAAACCCTCAGGGGATCATTGGAGTGGAGTGCCTTAGAAAGGAAGTGTATGTTGGACAAGTACTGCAGGAGAATTGTAAGAGCAAGACAAAGGTTGGAAAATGGACGTGGAAGAAATGGATAGGATTATAAGGGACAGCTCCCCAGATTGGCAAAAGGGACACTAACTATTGAAAGTCGAGAAAGGGTTGGTCTACTTGCTAATAAGCATAAAGATCAGAAGTCTATGGTAGACGAGGCACGCTAACACCTGTCCTAAAGTGAGAAACTATATGCTCAGCATGAACCCTGATGTCAGGGGAAGGAGGGAAACAAGGGACCCTAATGATGGGTGGCATGTAAAACAAAAGGAAGGAACACTATCCTATGAAAATGGCAAAAACAAAAAAATGGAACACACCTGAAAAACATATCCAAAAAGGCAAAGTTAGTCCTAGTAGATCTCATACGAGATGCATGGGAAGGCACAGCATAGTTAGTAGGGGGAAAAAAATAACTGTCAAACTCTTGCATTGTCCAAACCTGTTCACTATAAGGAACCTGAACATTGTCAGGAGAAAATGAATACCTCATATAGTGATCAATCTCCTAGCAAATGGTAGCCAAAAAATCTTCAGTCAAGAACCCCAGACAAGAAGCCAGTAATGGCACTTGAAGCAGCTGTAATAATATCAGGAGTTGTAGAACACAAACTTCAGAATTCATCTTACACTGTGAAAAAGTCGAAATTGAGAAAACAAAATTCAATAAACAAAGGTAAGTTATCGCAGCAAACTTCACAAATAAAATGAAATGAACATATGAAAAAAGTTTGCACTCAATCACTGCCTAATGAGAATAGTTCGGTAGAATCGAATAGAGGGAGTCACTTGCATCCGATGGCTATATCGCACTCCTATTGGTGGAGTGTTGTTGCATGATGACTTACATGTGAGATGCAGTTGAACCACTTTGATCATGGAGTACATGAGAGTTCACCGCTTAGATGAGGTAGTGTACCAAATTGAAAATATCTATTTTAGATAGCATATGTAACAATAAGCAGTTACATTTTACTTTTTGATATACATTTATGTTAGTCCTTAAATGAGGCTTACATGGTTAATTTTTTACAATACTGAAATGCATTACCTTCTTCTCCAGGATTACCAGCACCATTAGCTGTTGCATAAGGATTGGTAATGATTGCTTGAGCCACCTGTTGTCCAACCAGAGCAGCTGTAGTCACTACATGAGGAGCCACCTCAGGTTTTACTTCTGAAGATGGAGCTACTCGAACCACTCGATATGTCACTAAAAGCATACAAACAAACAGAATGTCAAAAAAAACTTATTTTAAAACACAATCATGCAGCATCTACTAACCTGAAAAAACCTTTTAATTTATATGCAAAAGTTCATAAGAAAACAATCTCAACTAGTTAATCCTCCTGGTCAAATCGACTTAATTTGTAACCCCAAATAGACTTTTCTATATAATAACTTCTAATATGTTTTGTATATCTTCACAAAATTTTGCAAGCTTTCAGCAAGGGTTACAAATCTTTTGAACACAAAAAATCTGAATCTTTAATGAAATAATTTCACTGAAAGTTTTTCCATGAATATATTGAGTGAAAGTGCTGACTGCTAGAAAGCCAGACAAATTATGTTAGGTATAGGACATTGTCTGATTTTTATGTTATTATTTCGTGTTGTTAGGTATGTTATTTTAATTAAATGAAAACAATTATTTAGTGCAATAGTGCCATTAGTATAATAAAGTAGGTTTAAGTTTCATAGACAGTCAACAGCAAAACAAAAAAAGACCCAGTTAAGTATTATATTTCTTGTTTTTCATGTCTATTCTGTATTTATTATTATGAAAGTAACTAAAATGTAAAAAAAAAGAGAAACTTTGTAGGTTAGATTACGTAAAGAAAAATAATAATTATAATAAACATTTTTCACAAGTTATGCTTGCAAGTAGCCCTTGCATTATGTAATTTAATAGGGTAATGTGAGGTACTCTTCATCAACTTGTGTGGTGGGATTATTGGTTAGACACAGTTCAGAGGGCAATAAAACAATATAATTTAAGTAGAAGCAAGTATACTGTTATGAAATTTAAGCTAATTAGGATATACAAATGTAGTTTCATGTTACAATTAAAAATCATTCTAGAAGGAAAAAGGGTAATTTAGGTTTATTTTTATATGGTGGTTATAAGGCCAATCAAGTTTACTGACCTCATTCAGAGTTAGGGCAGAGAAAATAACAAATAGAATATGAAATCTTACTTCCAAAAGTGTTTGAAATTTATTTAGGAGGTGTTAGAGATTAAGCAAATGAAATATGACAATTTTTGGACAAAGAAAAGTGTTTTTCACCTCAGCATGAAAATTACTTTGCACTTACAATTCTGCCATAAGAGCCATTAAAAATTCAGTTAAGCTTGTCAATGTGTTTTCTAGAATAAAGCTTAACCTGGAAGAACAATTCTTTGTACAGAAAAGTATGTAATATTAATATACCATTTTACAGATTAACACTTTGGTATTCTACTGGTTATAAATAATATAGTATTAAACTCATACAGAACGACTGGGAATTTGTGAAAGGATGAATGTGACAGAAGTCTCATTTTTTAGTTTATGGCTTTGTAACCACATAAGATTGAAGACTATATAAATTACACTTTATCTGAGTGATAATAATATTATAATGAATAATTTACATTAAGTTTCATACTTCTCAGAGGGGTGGTAATTAAATTACAAAATAAGGGGTTTCTAGGGAATAAAATGCCACAATTCTCATACTAGGGAAAATTGAGGATTTTTTAAATATTGCCTTATAAAATTGAGAACTTGAAACTTATATAATATTAACATTTGATTTATCAACTACATTTTGATCTATGTTTATATGCATACCATGATAATAAAGTATTAGGTCATCAAGTAATTAATGTTGCTGTTTTTAGATGAAAAAAAAAAACCCAAACAACTTGTATATCAAAACAAAACATTTATTAAATGAAACAGTTTCCATTCTTATTGATGATGCTTTTCTATCTTACAATCAGGTTGTTAATGCCCTGATTAAAAATTAAAAATCACTTGGCTTTGAGGCAAAAAACATGTCAATGTCCTCTTTAACACCTCCCACATTTTCATACGTTTTCCCATTAAGATGGTGTTGTAGCAATTGAAAAAGATGATAATCTGATGGTGCCATATCTGGAGAATA